CTGTATTTCACTAGTGAGCACTACTGGAGAGAGGCAAGTGTAGCCATTCCACACCACACGTGCCCCACGTGCTGAAGCACCTATGGCAGGAGCTATCAATCATGACCCATGAAAGAGGAAAGCTGTCCTGCTACAGGCTACAGTGGGTGGGCAGTACAACACACCGCACTGCTGAAATCATCTCAGACAACATGGTGACAAATAATCAAGTAATAATAACAAAATGCTGGTAGCATCACACCCCACTGCTACCATCCCCTCGCACAGCTCCACAGCGCTGGCCGGGGGCTGCATCACCACCTTGCACAAAAGTGGCTGAATGGGGAAGTTGAGTGAGAGCCCCAAGCTGCCCGGCAAACTATTGCTGCACGAGACAATCAGCTTTCTTGAACAAACTGCCCTTAGCAAGGCAGTTTAGAAACCTCCCCAAACCACCCTGCTCTTCCCAGCCAAAGCCAGGGGAGCGGCAGCCTACGGAGAAACCCCGGCCACTGGCGTGCCGTGCAAGCACAGAGCCCTGCACAGACGGTGGCACAGCACCCACTCCTGCAGCTCACAGGAGACCCCTCTGATGAGAGATGGAGACTCTCCTTTGGGAATGTTCCTCACCAGCAAAGCCCTCCAAAAAGTCTGGTTCACAGCCCTGGAAGGAGAGAGGCTGTCCTCACAAAAACTGCCTACAAAATGCTAATCCATGTTACTTTTCACATAGGAGTAAGAGACGAGAGCTGATGTGACAAAGACAATGTAAATGGGCTGAGCCAAGTGCCACTAGATGCTCCTTTGTGGAGACAGAACCTGCAGAACCTCAGCTCTGAGGTTCAAAGCAGCTCTCTGCCTGATGACCGTTTGGGCAGATTACCGCCGCTACCTGCTGGTAACTCAGTACTAGTCAATTAATGGGATCTCAGGATCATTCTGCTTTCACAGTTCTTTGTACACCCTGGTGTCAGTGGTCATTACAGGGAACTCTCTTCCACAGCAGAAGGATCTCACCAAAATCCTGCAAAATCCCCAGTTAATAAGAACTATAGCAAATCATTAAGCAGTATCACAGGCACCATGGTTCCCTATCCTTAGTTCAAGGCAGCTCTCATGCTCCTCCAGAGGACCTGGGAGCCTCCACAATGCCGTTTGGGGATGGAACATTTAGAAAGTCTACACTGTGACAGTGATTAGTAAACTGAAGACCACATTTTCACAGACAAATAGTCCTTGGTCCTGTAGGTTCCATGTGAGCAGCAGTTACACACAGGCCAGTGGGGCACAAGATGCAAGCGTCACTCCCAGAGGTTGTGTGGGCCCAGGTAGAGCTGCTGCGGGCGCAGACTTGAAGGTGTTAAAACTGAACAAAGAAATGCAACCCTCCAAGAAACAAGCAATTACTCTCCACTGCCTTACCAATTCAACTGTGGTCAATCTGTCTTCACAAACTGGCTGCTGCTCAGCTCACAAAATCCACTTGTCCTTCAGTAATCATAAGGGTGAAACCACCCTTCTCTGCCTGATTGTGTATTTTCTCACCATAATTAAATGCGACATGCAGCTGCAGTAAATATTTGTGCAGTCATAGCTCACATATGATAATCACCAAAAAAACCACTTCAGCAGGGAATGTATACGAATTCTAGTCTAGTCTGTAGCTAGACATTTGTAATCTAATACAAATCCATTAAAGCCAGGAATTTAACAGAGTAAGAGCTAAAAATGAAGCAAACCCTACTTTTCATGGAAAAAGAGAACTATGTTATCTGTATACTAAGGCAGCTTTGATAGGCTGAATTTAAAAATAATCTAATTGCCACTAGATGGCACATCTCAATTACTAATCCATGCTTGATTTCAGGGTTGCTTTTTTTTCTAAAAAAAAGGATATTCCTCCTCTTTGCTAACCCTTTATGATCATGCTTGCTTTCTATTTTGAAATTAGACAGTTTAAAAAAGAAAACACACATGGGTAAAAAAAGCAAATTTTTAACTAAAAATACACCATCTGCCAGTGAAAACCTAGCTTGATTATATCACAACTACAACCAAACCAGGTTAATAATCAGCATCACAGATGGTTTCTTTATATAAACATGTACATGTCCCCATTGTGACTCTTTCAGCTGCTTCCCAAAACTGCTGGCACGGTGCTACCTCGTTTCCTAGGCAATAGCTGTGCCTTACACACAGCCTGGACGTTACACAGCTGGAGTGGATTTCTGAAGATGCCATCCCCTTGCCTGTGGCTGTTTCCAATACCAACAAGGGACGCAGCAGTGGACAGCCAAGTCTTTACCAAAGAACGGCAACAGATGGATAGTAACACATTCTCATGCAGCTGGTCCTTTCCTCAGATGATCGAATCTGCTGAAGAGTTCTTTTAATTTGCCCAAATCTCTGCATAAAGCAATATACCAAACATCATGGTGACCTTGAGAAAACAGTATAGGGCTGCAATCAGAGCAAAAAAGGCAGAATTTCATCTTTCTGGAGCACCTGACAGCATGAACTCTCATAAACTACTAAAATACAAACAACGCCATTGTGGGATGTTCATTGATCCTTGACAGTTATGAATCAGGGGCTCCACAACCAGAAGTGGTTATTTCCTAATTCTAGTATGACCATACTCACTTGAGATGAACACGAGCTGGATTCCGTTCTTCTGTTACCAGCACTGATAGGTGTTTCAGACCAAACTGCAAACCTGTAACTACCAGTTTGAACATAGGTTAACTGACACCTTCCAAGAAATTCCATAAGCATCAAACCTGTTAAATAATACAGAGAACAAAAAGAATTCAACTCATTTCTTCCTGGTTCTACTTCAGTCATCTGAAAACCTACAGAAGTTGAGTTTATTATAACGACTAAGAGCATGCTGCTCTGTGGCACGGAGTATAAAGCTTCTCAGGAGCTCAACAGCAGTGGGGTTTAACATGAACTAGACTAGTCCATACAGCATGACCTTATTTCTGTTGGTATCCATATGACAAATGCCCCCTTTACGACACAGAGAAGCCTAAAAGATTGTGCCATTTCTAAGGGTACAATTAAAAGCATTTGAATGAATACCTTAAGAAACAGAGCAGAGGACAAGACACTCATAATCTAAGAGCCGTTCATGTCTATTACACTGATACAAGTGATAAAAATCAATTCACTACCTATGTTTGGGCCCAAATTTATGAATACCTGTAAAACAGGAGTCATCATATTGATGTTTGAAACTTGCAATGTTTAAATACTTGATACTGTTATAAAATAACTGAAACCAACATCATTCCTATGGCCTGTTCTACAATCAGGTGTCAACTTCTATGCCTGGGTTTGAACCGCCGATGATAAGATGGCAGACTCCATCCTACTGTCATCATTCAATCATCTGCTGCTATTAGTAGTGTGTTTATTTTGGAAAGAGCGAGTTGGATTTGTGAAATAGCCTGAAAATTCCAAATAAAAGTAACTGCATTCATAAAAATTGTAAAATAGATATACAGGGTACTTAGTCTTAAAAAAGCAAGTTGTGATGTGCATAATCTGTTAATGAAGCTGAAAAAAATATATTTCAGGCTTGGCATTATGAAACTATGACAGGGTAAGGAGTGCACACTTACCATTCACTTTCATCTGCCCATCACATCACTGAAAAAGCATTTTCAAATGATGAGAAGACTAATCACTGCCTTGCGCTCCAGGCAGGAGAGTACATTGAATTTGTTCATGGCAAATGGTACCTGCAGAAGTAAATTAATCAAATGTATACAACAGCAAATTCTGATTTTAAAGCTTCACCATTTAAAACTCAACTTCTGGAAACCTCACCACAGAGAGAGAGAAAGAGAACTTTATTTTAAGGGAAGAAGGAAATTATCAGAGCAGTTTCACTTGTTTTTAGATCATGGAATCACAGAATGGCCGAAGTTGGAAGGGACCTTAGAGATCATCCAATCCAACCTCCATATAAAAGAAGACACACATGCACATCTTTCTACTTATGAACTTGCCTTACAAGTGCCTTGAAACAAATGCTGAACAACTGGCTGGGGCATTCAGCAACATGGGGTTTTGAGCTTACAGTGTAAACTGCAGCCAGCCCGTCTTCCCACACACCAGCACCAACTGCTGGCTGTCCAGTACAAGGCTGGCTTCTCTCTCAAATTTCAGTACTTCGTTCTTAAAGAGTTCATTTGTTCAAAGCAAAACACAACCACTAGGATGCTTCTTATGAATATTTTAATGAAAGCAGAGGACCAGTTGTTCACATTCAGTCAAGAAACCAATGCTGAAAAGGCAACCCTAATCCTAGGGCAGTATAAAAACGTCAACTTCAGCTCCCCCTTTTTAAAAACTTTCTAAAAGAGCATTCTTGTAATGCCTTCCCATTCTACAACACCAGGAACTAGTAATTGTGCACAGTGTGTTTACAAGTTGCTTTAAATCTTGTTTAGGCATCGGCTTCACTTCGTACAGAAAAGGAGAAATAACTCAATTACAATAAAAATGAGAAAAATAATAAAACAAAGATTGAGATCTCTGAGTTCACAGTATAATAACGTACTTTCTTATAACTTCCCTTTGAAGGACTGGAACAACCAGCAGGCAAAATTCTTCAGAGTGGCCTTGCTACTTTGGCACCTATATGCCATTCACAGACAAAATTTAAAGCACTTACGCAGACAGGTTTAAATCTCCTAAATAAAACACAATAACTTTTAAAATTTTAACAAGCCATAAATTACTATAAGAGCAACATTAATTCCCTTCAGTGATTTTGTATTCAGTCTTAGTGGAGAATACTTTGAAATTACACAGCAAGTCAGTGTCAGGAGAATGCAGTAATATAACACTATCCTTACAAAAAAAAGGACCACCAAAAATCCAACCCCCAAACAATACTTAGATACACCTATATTCATAATTAGTACTGATTACTAATAATTACTAGGCTGAAGAACCACAATTGTCAAAGTAAAATTCATTACACTGTAAAAAGCCTGTTTTGGCAAGGCTTATTCTCCATACTGTATCTCTGCTCTTAGCTCTTTGCTGAGGTAATTTATCAGCACTCCTGTCAGCTTCTGCTGGAGACTAGCATTTCCCATTACAAGAGCAATCAGCTGAGCAAGATCAGTCCAGTCCAAGTGCCCGAGAACAGCAACAGCTTCATCGTAGAGTTTCTGCTGCTCAGCAGGAGGCAATTCCAGTAAAATCTGAGGGACTGGCCTGAACTGTCCAGTGGTCATCCAGGCACCAAGAACTCCACCAAGTGCTCCTCCTAGAAAAGAGGGAGATGTTAAAACACGAGATTCTACTCACAGCCTTCATCAACACTGTTCCTGCCTTTATTCCAAATCAGCGCAGAGTTGCGTATGCATCTACTTCAACTAGGTTCATATATAACATTCAAAGCACCAAGAATAATTTTTTTTAAAAAGTTTTTTATGTCCACAGCAATCACAAAGGAACTCTTTACACAACCAAAGCTAAGAGCTTGAAAAGAAAATAACACTCCTTCGGGGCACTGGTCTCTCTAGGTAAGCTCTACTACTAAGTAAAACCAGGCACAAGGAAAACACCTGGCCACCAACTGCCTCATCAGTGCCCTTAACACAATCTCCCACCAGAGAATCCCAGACTGATCAAAGCTTTCTGCTTCTACGGAGCCAAACATCACAGCCTCCTGCTCCCAGCAAGTCCACCCCTCAGAAGGGGCTCACAGAGACCAAACCCAGCCGAGCTTCCTGGGACTAGACACACTCATGCTTTCATGCACCAAATCAACACCCCACCCACCCCAGCTGGCCCAGAAATGCTCTGGTGAGTAGAGGGGTTCCAGGTCACCGAGGTAACTGCAGAGGGATCCCCTACAGCTGACATGAGGTGGCTGCTGCTGAGAAACTAGCCTTGCAGTCCTACACAGCTCTGCTCTTCCAACACTTGCAACACAGGGCTCTTCGACAGCCACTTGCACCACGGACACCACTGCCCAGATACAGGCACCCTGGTGGAAGGCAGGAGAACCCTCACAATGGAGCAGTGTCAGAACCAACCCTGCCTCCAAAATTCCCACCCCCAGCAGCTGCTCCTAAAATCATTTATGCATTCACAGGGATGCAGCTTTTCATTAGACAAAAAAAATCTGTAATCTGCAGCTTTTACTTGATTGGCAATTTTTCCCATGATAGCACAGAAATACTTGAAAGCCTACAATGGCTGAATTCATCTTCAAGGAACTTTTATGAGAACATCAATATCTGATTTAGGGGCACTTAATGCAAAAGCCGTGAGAAGTCTTGAAGTGTAAGTTCCTTGTCCATCGAGACAAGGTTTTTAACACGATCTCCCTTTTCCCTCCCAAGCAACACATCCACAATCCATACTTTTCCAAGGAAGCAGTCCTTAGAAAGCACAGGAGGCGGCAAGTTTCTCCAGTGACCACTGCAGACGGAAGGTAACTCACGCTCTAATTCTTGGTGCAAGGCAGCAGAAAGGATACTCCCTGCTACCCAATCCCACACCAGGCTGTTTGTGTAAGTGAAAATGCGCTTAAGTGCAAATGTCCCTGTACATGTCCTAAAACCCACTAAAGACCCAGGGTCATTTACCTTTGCAATTTTAGAAGTTAAATGAGGGTCTTCTGATTTAGTTGCACTGTAATCAGGACATGGCTTTTGGTATACTTACTACTTATTGTTCTTACTGCATATACTTAGTATTATATGGTTTTGGTATGCAGTGATAAGTATGCTTGTTACAGTGCCTTCACCAGTGAGAAAAGCAAGCTTGACTGGGAGACATTATGAAAGCTCAAACAAACACTTAAGCAAAATGAGAAAACACACCCAAGAATCACTTTAGTGTTTTCATCATCTCACTCAAGAATGAGGCCACCTACACTTTTACTTCCGATTTACAGCTTACAAATTTTTTACAAAAGCTTAATTTCACCACTTTGTCCCTGTTCAGATATGTGTTTGTCAAATTATTGATTTTGGCTATTAATGAAGCTCTGTACTTGCAACAGGAGTAAATACACAGTTTCATTTTGTATTTTGTGTTATCACTCCTTGCATATTATTTTCTTATTTTTTATAGCTCAACTTTGCTAATGCTCATGCAGGCATACTACAATTTACTCCAATACCAATAAACTAGTGAAATTCCTGTAACTGCTCACGGGTGTAACCAGCATTCAAGGACCAACGCCCACGACTTCAGCAATACGGCACCTATCAAACTACACAACTTCTAATTCAAGAGAGGCAGAGAAGAGATAACTCTTTACTGTTAGACTCTGGCCTTCCTGTAATTTTCCATACAAGAAAATAGCACCGAGAGAGTAACAAATTATAGAGGAAAAAAACAAGTGAAAAGCAGGTACTTTTAAAACACACT